GTCGGTGCTGCCAAGGTCGGTTCTGGTGAATGATATGTGAAATCAAAGTTAAGATATAGTGAATTGGTTCACGGTTTTAAGAAAAATTACCTATTCGGGGTCGGATCCTTGCTGATGTTTTCGTAGTTCCAAGGTCCGCTGGTGCTTGCTGGTCGGCCCCAGAGGTCGGGGGTGTTGGCAGCCGGGACGCCTTCCTTTTTCGCGTTGGAACAACAGACCCGGTCCCCGGGGCGGCTGTTTGTTGTTGTGTGCTAGTATGTCTAGCCGCCCCTAGAACCAATCCTTGGGGTGGAAGGAGTATGTTCAGTAACCGACCCTCATCAGGGGAAATCAGGGGCCATACAACCGACCACCATTCATTGAAAGTATCTACAGTCTCAGGGTTGGAGCGGAAAGGAATATAAGAATTGGAAGTTATATACGTGGTAAGCTGGGAGATATAAGAAGGGATTGAATTCGGTAGGACTCGTCGGTCAGGGCTTTGAAAAATTATATGCGGACACGCGACGGGTCCAGGGATACCTTGGCAACAGCCGAATTGGCGTGCCATGAATTGAGGTTCATAATTATAAGTGTAGAAGGTTTTCTGCCCCTTTTTATCAAGTTTTTTGCTACTAAAAAGAGACCTAGGTTTGAGGGCAACGTCCCAGGCAAAAGGATAAGTGGAATGAGGACAAGGCTCAGGAGGCGGAAGCGGATTTGGTACTGGAAAAGGCCAAAAATGGTCGGGAGCATAGCCCGCATACTTTTTATACATAGAAAATCGAGAGTTACTGCGGGTATCTGTTAAAACTGCGGTTATTATTGGATCGGAAGATTGGAGGTTATTGCGTCCTGAGCAGAGTCGGTTAAGGGCTAATCCCAAATGTTTTTCAGCTGTTGGCATAGTGGGCGGAGATCCTAAGTTAAACGCGTTGGGGAAGTAGAGCCGGAACCAAAGTTCTAAAAACCAAAAAGGACCCGACGCGGCAGTGTCTAATTTCCTATTATCATTATCTGTTAAACGAAGGCTAACTCTAGTGAGTCCTTCAAACAGATTGGCTAAAAACAGGGTGCCAAGAGAGAAAAAACGACCTGACGCGATTTGAATGGCTAAGTCGAGATGAGAAGGAAGAACACATTTGGAAGGGGAAACAATGACGTACCTACAAAGCCAAAAAAGGATAAAGGCAGTATGCTCCCGGTCGGTTACAGGGGTCCCTGGAGCCCCTTGCTGGTCGGTTGCGAACTTTGTCCAACCCCATTCCTTCACACCTTGTAAAGACCACCCTGGATGGTCTTCTGACGGCTCCTGCCCATCTAGGGCTCCCATTACAGGGTCTTCACCCACGACTGGGAGATGCGCGATCATTGCAACGTCCATAAGAGTTGGGCCAAAGGGGCCTGATGGGAAGAGGAAAGTCCCATTTTCCGCATTCCAGAAGGCAGACATGGCCAACAACACCTTCTCATGCAGGTTGATAGGCATGGTGGACAGTAGTATTGCTTGGTCGATCTTTTGGGAACGCCATTGGGTTTGGAAGTGTTCTGCTACCCGTCGATACCAAGCGCGGTAAGGATCTTTTGGGTCCGTCAGATGGGTTTTGATGCTGTCTCGAATGCGAAGTGCTTGGTAGTTAGGGTTGTTGATAGCCAAGAGATTTCGGGATTCCAAGACTTCCCTCATCCGATTTGAATCTTCAGGAGTAGTGCAATATGGACGGATCGTCGGAGTTAGTACTTTCGAGGCTGAAAATGGGCCCTCCGGGAGGGTTCCGTCGAAGGGAAGGGCAGGAATGTATTGATTCGCCATGGTTCGAGTGCTTTGGGATTGTGATTCACAAAAGCTGGAATGGCGGAGGAGGAAGTTAATCAGGAGTGTTGCAGTAACTGGTGCAGTTACTAAGGGAGTTTTTCAAGAGGGTGGTGCTTTATGAACTTCCAAACATTGATTGTTAAATGGCGTTTGAAAGTCCCTTGGCGGCGGGCAAGTTGTTACGTACGAAATTTAGAATTAGGTTAAAAGCCCAAGGTAAAAAGAATAGTGGGCCTGGCAATAGAGTTGATTGAACTGACTGAAGGGCACCATGAGGAAATCAAGGAAAATAGGTTTATTACTAAGGAAAGTCTTCAGGTCGGTAGGTCCTCAAGACGGAAGGTCATCAGGACGGAAGGACCTCAGGTCGGTAGGTCCTCAAGACGGAAGGACCTCAGGTCAGAAGGTCTTCAGGTCGGGAGGTCCTCAAGGCGGAAAGACCTCAGGTCGGAAGGTTTTCAGGTCGGGAGGTCCTCAAGACGGAAAGACCTCAAGTCGGAAGGTTTTTAGGTCGGGAAGTCCTCAAGACGGAAAGACCTCAAGTCGGAAGGTTTTCAGGTCGGGAAGTCCTCAAGGCGGAAAGACCTCAAGTCGGAAGGTTTTTAGGTCGGGAGATGTCCTCAAGACGGAAAGATCTCAAGTCGGGAGGATTGGCAGTCGGACCCATACTATTGTAGATTGGCAGTCGGGCCAAAAGAGCGGAAGGTTTGTGGTCGGCTCAAAGAGTGAAATATAAGGATAATTTTGGTCTGCTGAGGACGCGTGTCAGCGTGAGAAGGGTTGGAAGACGGTTTGGAAGGAGACGTTGTAACCGTTCGGGTGACGGTTTTCGGTACGGTTTCCCAGAGAATATTTAAAGGCTTGGATAATCATTTGGCAAGGCATCTTCAATCAACTTCAACAAAGCAAAGTCAGATTTGGGGATCACCACTTTAAATTTCAGTCTTTTATTTTCCAGTTTATTTTCTGTACCATACAGTGTTTAGAGATTCCTAATCTCAGGCACTAATTAATCAAGTTTAAGGATATTTTCTATATCTTTGAATTTTACTTTATTTTTGTTGAAAAAATACATCAACACCTCGATTTATCAAAATTAAATAATTTTTAGAATTACTTTGAGGTCTATTTTTTGAAAAAATATTTTTTTGACTTACAATTATATAAAAAAACTCAAAAATTGGCACTGCTTGTGATTTATTGGTAGTTTACAAAATATATATATTTTTTTCCTATAATTTGAAAATCTGTTTGGTAAATGCTTAATTTTTTCTCTTTATGTGAAATATGCGTTTTTAAGTAAGTTTTATAATATGGTATGGTTAATCATTGTTGATTACATAATAGAAATCTTAATTGTGCAATATTTGATTCATGTGCTTTACTTTATATGCAACAGCGCATTGCTAATTGTAGCTCCAGGTTGATTAGTGTGTGAAATTCCATTATTTTTGAATTGCAATTGTCCAAATATAATAATATAAAATATTTTATACAAAAAAAAAGTAAAAAAAAAAAAAACTTTAAATATCCATTAAAAAAAATCGGAAAGTAAAAAAAAAAAAATTCAAATACTCCTTAAAAGAAATAAAAAATTTAATTAAAAATAATATATTTTATATTTTTGACACAATTCTTCTTACCACACCAAAAAATTATTTCACTTTGCGCAACCTAAGCATAAAATTATATTCCATCCAAAAAATTTAGCTTCATTCCTTTATATTTTAATGAAGCTAAATTTTTCCAAAAGAATTATCATAAAAGCCCTAAACATAAAATTGAAGGTGGGAGATTAATAATTAAAATATACAACATGAGTGATCAACTATTTCATGCCAACATAGCAAAATTGGGCCATATAAATGACTTTTTCTAAGGGCTACTATAAGCTTAAAAATACATACCAAACAATGAGCTTTAAAACATGTTTATTGAGTAAAATATGAGTATTTAGAGGTTGGGTGTTTGACAAAACGAGTTTTTAAAATATGTATTATTGCGATAATTATAACATGTAATATTCTTGTTTCAATCCAATATTCATTAATAAACTTTTACATTAATAACACAACATTCAATAATATGTATTCAAAAAACCATCGGGAACACAAGTAACGGGTAGAAATGGCTCTGATGTAGAGTGAAGTCATTATAGTAAAATTATGAGTTAACTGTCGAAAAATAACACCTACATGTTCTCACATAATAATTAAACAAAAAAAAAAAAAAGAAAAGAAATGCAATACATTTTTGTTCTTTGGTGATAATTGCATTTTACAAAAATAATACTCCCTCCGCCCTCTCCTCGATTGCGCTTGCAATAGTTGATATAACAGACAAGTTTAGCGGGAAATGAAAAGCAGTGTATATTACTACCAGTCTTTTAAAAATGTGCTCACTTCCCTTGTATAAACACAATCAAATAATAAAAAAGAGAGCTTACACTCAAATTTGCAGCATAGCATATATTTACAGCGTAAGACGAGTCTCCGTAAAAATTTGTTATCAAATATTTACAGCGATTAGGCGTTAGCATTGATGCATGCGCTGAACACAAGTAGCAGATGGTCTGTGGCTTGTTACAACATATAAAAGAAAACCTTGTCTACCAGTGGCAAATTCCCGGAGTCTCCGATCGTGATAAAGCCAGAATCTCATCGTACTTGGAAGCATATACGAAGCCCCACAACTACACACAAACGAAGCGATGCATTAACTAATGCATCAAGACATTAGCAAAACTTTTACAGATGATGCAAATGAAGCTATCAAGTCGGAAGATGGAATAAATGTGTTAGGCGGCACTACCACTCAAAAATGAACTATGAAAAGAAGCAACATGTTTGAGTAGTACCTCAACTTCTTTCACCTTGAAATCTTCAGAATGTGCCAAACAAGGGTTACCATAGGTTTCTGAGGACAAACTCGATCCATTCAATCTAAGGTAGGAACCAAACAAATACAGGGAATGAATGGTTATATATCCATCAAGCAACAAATACCAAACATGCCGGATGGAGAAATTTTGTAGAGAATTATGATAAATACTTACAGCTCTCCATCCAAATACAGTGCAAAATGACCACCCCCACCCATGGCCACATAATCCGTAGAGCACAAGGTAAAATACCGATTCATACCTGTTCCATGCCGAGATGTCAGCATAGGATCAGGAAGCTGTTTTAAGTAATATCTGAGCCAAGCCAACAATATCAGACCAAAAACAACATAAGGAGGCATCTATTTCGAATTTTTTTTTTTTTGTGTGTGTGTTTGTAACAATAGAGCACTTGTGCAACAATGATCCTCCTGCATGACCATGAGCATCGGGGATCGGATTTGAGAGAATAAAAAATGAACTATATTTTGTTTTGGCATGAAAAAGGATATTTTAACTTGATTCAATTTCAGTCTTTCATGTACTATGCCAATATTGTAAATTATCCAAAAGACTGAGCGGAGCATCCTGGAGGTCCTGTCAGTAACAGGATGTACCACCAAAAAGGTGTTGCATGTTAACTTTAACTTAATATGTATCAACATCTTTTAGATTGAGAGGTGCATCCTGGGGGTTATGTGGCCAAGACAGGGCTTCCAGCTATAGCAGTGGCATCCTAGGTTAAGTCGACTGGGACGTCACAACATTTATTGAGCTTGAGGGGGAGTGTCACATTGTTTAGTAGCTGTCATTATTTTATTTATTAGTTGCAATCATGAAATAGCTAGCAGAGAAGTAGAATCCACTGAGGGTGTTTACTATCATTAATTATATATCTATGTTATAAACACTTTATAGAGTGAGTTTTAAATAGTGAATGGTATATGAATGATTTTGTTTCCATCGTTATGACATTTGAACTACTGCACAATCTACCTGTACACTTCAAGAGAAATAAAAAAAAAAAAGTTATTCTTATAACTTTCTTTACACCAAATATATTAAAAAATATGACAACGTACCTAGCAATCATAAATTTGTTTAATGGTTTCCAAAAACCCACTTGGTGGTTTTGTTACTTGTTCCATATCAGTCTCCCAACATTTTTAACATCCTCAACGTTGGGGTTTCATTAGTAAAATTTGACATCTAGAAAATAACAAAACCATGCAAATGTCCTATTGGTTCTAAAAGCATTTAAATGTTCTAACACTGAAATAAACATTCGGCATTTTTCCCCAGATATTGCAAATAGCAAAAACATTTACTATAGGAACAAACTTAGAAAGATTTACAACAATAAAGAAAATTGCTACATTATACACCAAAAATTACAAACTTCTGAACCATGTTATCTTGTTTTTTTCAGTATCATCATAATTATGAATTTGCAAATCCTTACTACAATGTATCAACAGTTTGTTCACATCTTGTATACATTACAAATGGGCTCAATTATTGTTTACTCGCATGTCATCCCATTTTTCATTATAATTGGAAATGTCCAAAATAAATTCACTTAGTTCCATCATTAAACATGCAATTCACGAATGGTCCATCTAAACAACATCAGTTAAACGCATCAAAGAAACCAATAGAATTCTGAAACAATTCATTGAGAACTAAAGTTGGGGCCAGGGTGAGAAATATTATTTGGTTCAAACATGCAAAGCACATAAAGTATATCAAATATTAGTGATCAGATGCGCTACTTAACCAAACCGTGAAACTGAATAGAATAGCAAATTATTTAACTAAAGATTGGTACCTGTAGGGCGAAATATAATAGAACGACCGGATACATTTGAAAACACAAATGAATCATTGGATCCCTGTGGAGAAAAAATAAAATGTATATGTATATATATACTTTAATTATAGGGCAATAATTAATAAGATGATTCGACAAAGTAAATCATCCAGTGTTACCTGATACCTTCTCTTATTTGGTTTTAGGGGTGCCTCAACCAAGCCGCCAAATACAGCACCATTGCGATCCCCAACAACCTGAGAATACAAATAGAAAATCATAAAAGTAAAATATGGTGACTATCACTGAATAGGCACATTCATTTTTATATGATTTATAATAATTTATAATAATCAGGGTTTATACTAGATCCTAAACCATATCTTATTTGATTTTAAAATTTCTCGTCTCCTGTAAGCACATTATCAGTAAGTGATCCTTTTTTTTTGGCCTTGGGTGGATATCAATTGCCAGCCATTGTATTTAAAAAGAGGACTAGAGGTCATATTCCAGTAAATCTATAAAAGAAAGATAAATTGCATATAATATTCTGTAATTTCAAAAAGTCAACACAAAACAGCGAAAAAAATCGTCATTGAGTAGAAACAACTCGTATGTTTCTCTTACAATATAATGTCCCCTTCTTTTTCAGTTTTGGGTTGATGCTATCCTTACTTCATGTTTTCTTATGTCTATTGCCCTAGATCATAAGATCCTGTGTTCAGCCTAATGTGTCTTTATATCCCTTACCTTGCATATAATGTTTCTAATGAAAATAGGTGTTGTTGCAATCTTTAGAATATAAAATATGTTTTGGATGTAATGTGAAATGAAAATTAGATGTTGAATGAGGTGTGGTGGTTTTCTATAGCATGTGTAGTACAAAAATAAGATTGACAACACAAAACACATAACCCAACAACAACTGAACTACATTATGCTTTGAAATCAGAACATGTATAAAAATGAAGGATCCTTCCTATTCATCACCAATCACTCTCGAAATCCTCAGCACCCTCATGACAATCTTCAAATACTTTTAAGATAACATGATATCAATAAGAGTCTAAGTGTACTGTGACATAAATGAATTGGTTCAGGCAGTTGACACTTGACATGGAAAACTACATATACAAATTCCTAAAAACCCACACATAATAGAAGAGATGGCTCTTTCTTTAAAAATATTGGTCTTGCAGTTGAAATGTATAACTATAACATAATATAATCAAATTCATAACACAAAATGCACATGTTACTGTTACTTGAGTCAGCAGGTTCACAAGGATTAATTTACAGTTTCCTATTTGTCTGTACAACTTCTCAAAAGGGTAAGTTTATAGCAAATTGAGGCCAAGGATTACAAGCATAACTGTAAACACATTGTTTCACCCTTGTCATATTGTCGCATGAAAGTTAATTAACTAACTCCCTGAACTTCAGATAAGATCTTAGCCATGAAATTGTGAACATCAAGAATGTAAGTAAGAAATGAGATGCAAAGCAGGTACATGTTTCTACATAGCATCTGTTATAATCAGATTCTCAGATAACACAAGTTTTGGAAAATGGAAAACCATAGCATTTGTATTGAACTAGAGAAAATAAACTAAAATTTTCAAAATTAAAAAGAGTGTAATAATTAATTCATTATAGATGGCATAAATGAAGATGGCTTGCCAACATAAGGTAAAGCTAGAGTGAAAATCCTGGCATTTGAGGCTATACGATGCTTTTCATGGAAAGTTGGAACCTTAAAAACATTACATGTTTAAATAATTTTCATCATACTAGTTAGCGATCATATGTATTTAACCCTATAGTTTATATAAATATTAATTTGGCATACTTAACATAGGAAAGTGTACCAGAAGGCTGAGGCCAGGCCAAAGCATACTTCTTCTGTACAATGTTGAAAGAGAAATACCATGCCTCCAAGTACTGGAAGATAACGAAAGCGAGCAGTTGAATCATAGATTCAGCATGAAAATCAATATTTTATAAAGTAATGCATGTAGCTAAACAAGACATTGAATTTTCTAGACCTGTATAACAGCATCCACCTTCGTCCCTGCACAATCACAGGTAGTGCAGCATAGAGAATGCCCCGAGTTTCTTCAGTTAAAAGCATTGAAGGTTCAGAAGTTTCAGGAAGATTTTCATAAGGCGATGACTCATCCGAAGTTTTCACAGAAATCCCCGCATTCCCGGAAGTATCTGATTTACTGCCACTGCCAACTGCCACATCCAAAGAGGCTTTGGGGGCTTGACTTCGCAAACCAGCTATTTTGGCAGCTTGGTAGAATGCCTTACCAAGCGTGTGTTTACCCCTTGATAACAAACCTTTTCTTTTGACATTCTCTTTTGTAGCTATAGCTTCAGATGATGGCTTAAGCTCGTTCTCGAAGGAATCAATTTTGTCACTAAAGTTTGAGTTTCGTTCAGATTCTGAAGATGCTAACAGTGAATATAGAAATGCAGTAAAGGAAGATGTATCTGGACCATCATGAGAATCTCTACAATCATCTGCATCTGACTGGCTCTTTTCAGAATCATCCTATAATAATGGAAAAACAAACATCAAGAGAAAATGGTTAGACATCATTTGGGGATTGCATACAATGGAAAAATATTAAAAGATAGAAAAGCATGCTTCATTTTTACTCTCCAGACTCACAACACCAAACTGGTCACACCTTCATTAGGTAAAGTGTTTGGTGGAGTCAGCCAACTACAAGAAACACCAAATCTAAATCAAAATATACAGATTTATTTTCTCACTCAAAATTTTTTAATCTAGTTTAAACACAAACATCACGAACTGTAATTCTTGTCAAGTAATATTCATAGGCATCAATGGAAATTTTGGTACTCTGTTGCCCATGGCAAGAGAACCCTGCAACTAAATACTTTCTCAATGAATCATAAGACGTCGATGAAATAAAAAAATAAAAAAAAAAAAACCAAAAAGGGGGAAGCAATGGGCTAAGTTCCTAATCCAATTCCGCTTGTCCGAAGAAGTTGAAATTTATCATCCAAAAATAGCATTCAGTTTTTCCGACCTACGCAAAATCAGATAAGCTGCATCAAACCCTCAAGAACCAACGTCAAGCGCCGAATATTCCGAACTCCTAATACGTATGCGCCTGGAAACCTAAACCCCACAAACCTATTCAAACCGCTCAAAAAATTCCAATCGATCCTCAAAAATAGGCGAACAAGTAACTTTGCAGCTAAATCACCAACATCTTATTCTAAATTTACTTAATATAGATATAATATATAGATATATATTCAAATATGAAAAAACCATACATAGGAAGATGATCGGGGAGAAGGCCTGGAGGGTTTATCAGAGATGGGGTTGAGGAAAACAGTGGTGAGATCGGAGACAAAGTGAGCCGCTTTGCTCCTCAACGACTTGGGTTGGGGCTTCAGCTCCGGAATTTCTTCATGCTCCTGCTTTTTGCCCATTTTCGGCTACTTTTCTTCTAGACAACACTATTTATTTGTATGGCTGCAGGCGTGGTTTTACATTATGCACTGGGCATGGCGTCGCGCTTCCCTTTCCCATCCGAATTAGACTTTTTCGATTTTGATAATCGATATAGGATTCGAAGATCCCGCAGCAGGGAACTGAGGGTAAAATGTATGTCATACTTATCTGGATGGCAACGGGCCGGGTCGGACCCAAGATCCGACTCACAAACATATAGATAGACCCAGGATTCGAATCGAACCCGATTAACACTGGACTCGACTCTAGACATACCTGATGGATCGACACACCCCACAAATATAATTTTTTTTCTTTTTTACACACCCCCCGTAAAGAGGACCCGGACTGGGGCCAACTTAAACAATTATTTATTTATTTCAAATAATTAATTAAAAAAAAATCACATAAATAATCATGATTATTGTTGGTGTGTTTATGCGTCAACCCACACCAAAATCCAGATCCGCCCGACCCTGTCCGACCTGATCCATAATCGACCCGGTTTGTTTTTTATCTCCTTAAATTAAATCGATCTCTCCCCATTCTGTTCGATCGTTTGAATCGGTCTCTCATCCGTTCTGTCATTCATTCACGGTGCTATCTCTATTTCTTCGAGATTGATTGAGTCCACCATGGGTGTGGATAAGGTAAGGTTGTTCTCTACTATTTTGGGTTCTATCCATCCGTCTCTTCTCTATATATATGGGTTTGGGATTTTGGGAAAGGGTTTGACGAGTTCGCTATTCAGTTCTCTGTTACGTGAGCGACGAACCTACTGCCTTAGCCTATCGACTTCTCTCGTTATTTTTCGTGCTGATACTGCGTGTAAGGAACACTATAGGGTTCTTAGGTTACTTCGTGTTAGGAACCACCGCAATCGACACCTTTGTGGGTTACCTCGTAGGACGACTTGGAGTTGGCGAATGAGTGGCTGCGATCTGAGCCTACACTACCGATTGATCTATCTTTCTTTTCAATTCTTAACATATATATCTGTTTTACATTCTTAATCATCGTTTTTATCCGCACTAATTATTTGGTTGAGAATTTGTGCAGATCACCCAACGTTCAGGAAGATCGAGAATCCCAACATTGGTATCAGAGCGAGGTTAAAAGTTGAACGCGGGCTGAATTTACTATCCTAGTTGCAAAGAGAAATTGATAAAATTTGCCCCAATCAGTGATGGATGGCTAACCCTTGAACCTCTATATGTTAGATAATACTTGGGCATTCGTGATTGTTTATATATGAATTGTGTGACACAACTATCACGTAACTGGCTGCTCCAAGAGCGAGTAAGTAGCTGACCACTGATAGTTAGTGAATTATTGTCTGACATACTTGATTGTGTGTGTTGGCTATTACGTACCAAGCTGCTCCTAAAGGAGTAGGTAGTTGACCTCTAATAGCCCCTTATGTGACCGTGTGAATTATTCGTTAATATGTCGTCTGTGTCATCTTTCAATATTGCACCATTCGATGGAAAAATTGATTTTTCGATTTGGCAACAACAATGAAAGGACTTTTAGTAACTCAAAAATTTTCCAAAGCAATTGATGGTGATTATAATGCGTTATTGACAGATGAGAGAAAGGTTGAAATAGATGAATGTGCTTATTCTCTTATTATCTTGAACCTGTCTGATTCTGTGATTAGAAAGGTAGGAAAACTTGATTCTACGAAAGAATTATTGGAAAGATTAGAAGAGCTTTACATGGAAAAATCTTTGCCAAACAAACTGTTCTTACTTGAAAAGTTTTTCCGTTTTAAACTTGACTTGAATCGAAACATTGATGAAAATTTAGATGTTTTTACAAAGTTAATTTAAGATATAAAACAAACAGACGATAAGAATATTGATGAATATACCCCTATTGCTCTTTTGAATGCAATTCCTGACTCTTATTCAGATGTTAAGTCTGCTATCAAATATGGTAGATATAGTATAAATCTTGAAACTGTCATGAATGGATTAAAAAGCAAAGAACTTGACTTGCATGCACATAAAAGTCATAAAAATGCTAGTGATGAAGTTATGTTTGCTAGGGGTAGGTCACAGGTTAGAAAAAATACAGAAAACCAAAAAAATAGGGGAAAGAGCAATGAGAGATCTAGGTCTAAGTCTAGGCCTAAGAACAAAAAGTATTACAGCTGTGGGGAACCCAACCATTATGCTAAGCAATGTCCACATCCTAAGAACTTTAGAAACCAACAAAATGAGCATGCTAATATGACTATAGGAAATGAATATGTAGGATATGTTTTCATGGTTAAAGGAAGTTGTGCTGCTGTTAATACTATATGTGCTAACGAATGGTTGCTTGATTCTGCGTGTACTTTTCACATGTCTCCTTTGAAAAACTTGTTTTCAAACTATAGGTCTATTTCGCATGCTAGTGTTTCAATGGCAAATGAAAAACTTTGTAAAGTTGTTGGTATAGGTGATATATGTCTAAAGTTTGACTCTGACTATGTGTTAACCTTAAGGGATGTTAGGCATGTTCCTGATTTGTGCAATAACTTGATTTCATGTGTTGCACTAGATGAAAGTGGATTAATAGGAAAATGGGGAAATGTCGTTATGAAAGTTTTAAAAGGTTAATTTGTTGCATTTAAGGCTGTTAGAAAAAATAATTTGTACGTTGCTTATGCTGAACCAAATTGCATGCCAAATGTGAATTCTGTTGTTAATGATAAAACTGAATTGTGGCATAGACGATTAGGTCACCTTAGTGATAAAGGTCTTGAAATATTAAAGAAAAATAGTTTTCTTGAAAATGATAAGATTACTACTGTGCCTTTTTATGACTCGTGTTTATGGTAAGCAACATAGGGTAAAATTTGATTTGTCCCATGCTCCTAAAGTGCCTAAATGTAAGGATGTGCTTGAATATTTGCACGCTGATGTGTGGGGTCCTGCTCTTGTTCCTACTCAAGGTGGGAGTCGTTATTTTCTGTCGGTAATTGATGAATTTTCACGAAAAGTTTGGATTTTTCTATTAGAACAAAAATCAGATGTTTTTGAAATTTTTCAAGCATGGAAAAAGTTAATAGAAAATCAAACAGGTAAGCGCATTAAATTTTTGAGAACAGATAATGGTCTTGATTTTTGCAACAATTCGCTTGATTCATTATGTGCTAAATCAGGTATAACTAGACATAAGACAGTTCCCTATACACCCCAGCAAAATAGGGTGGCGGAACGAATGAATCGAACTCTTATTGAAAGGGTGAGGAGCATGTTAAACTCCTCGGGCCTTCCAAAGAGTTTTTGGGGGAAGCTGTTACTACGGCTGCATATTTGATTAATAGGTCTCCCTCTGTGCCACTTGGGGGTAAGTGTCCTGAATCTGTATGGTCGGGTAAGAAACTTGATTTTTCCAATTTGAAAGTATTTGGGTGTACAGCATATGCTTTATATAAAGGTGATAAACTTGAACCTAGAGCTGTGAAATGCGTTTTCTTAGGTTATCCTTTATGAGTAAAAGGATATAGGCTATGGTTAAAAGATAAACCAGGCTTCAAAGTGCTAATTAGTAGAGACGTCACTTTTAATGAAAATGAGATGCCATATCTGAATGTGCCAAATACTGAAATAGATTTGACTTCTAATGATGTAGAGCCTAATAAATTGGAAATTTCTGAAAAGTTGCATGAAAAATCTGATTCTCATGACAAGTTGCTTGAAAATGACCTATCAAATGCTGAAAATTCTGAATCAGAGAACATAGAAATCTACCAACTTACGAGAGATAGGACTAAGAGAACCACTAAGCAACCGTCTAGATTTGATGAATACGACTTGACTTATTATGCTTTTAGTGTGTTCTAGACATTAGATGGAAATGAACCTAAGTCCTATGAAGAAGCTTTTAAATCTAAACATGCTAAACAATGGTTAAATGCAATGCATGATGAAATAAATTCCTTGCATGTTAACAATACGTGGATTCTTGTTCCTAGGCCAACTAATTATTCTATTGTTGACTACAAATGGATTTTCAAAGTCAAAAATAAAAATGATAATGTTAGATTTAAAGCTAGGTTGGTAGCAAAAGGATTCACTCAAAAAGAAGGGATTGATTACACTGAAATTTTCTCACCTGTGGTTAAATATACTACTGTTAGGATAATGCTTGCCTTAGTTGCTCACTTTAATTGAGAACTAAAACAAATGGATGTTAAAAATGCTTTCCTACATGGTGATCTAAGTGAGAAAATTTACATGAAACAACCTGATGGCTTTGTAGATAAAGATAAGCCTGATCATGTATGTCTACTTAAGAAATCTTTGTATGGTTTGAAACAATCACCTAAACAGTGGAACATTAAATTCGATGAGTGCATGAGATCTTTAAAATTCACAAAAAGTAATTTTGACCATTGCTTGTATTTTATGAGATCAAATGATGTTCCTGTTTCTTACTTATTTATGTGGATGACATGTTATTGATTAGTCCTTGTGTGAATGACTGTTTGAGCAATAAGTTTGACATGAAATATTTGGGTGATGCAAAGAATATTCTTGGTATGAACATTATTATAGATAGGGCTGTTTTTACACTTTTGTTAAATCAATCTGCATATATTGAAAAAGTCTTGAAACGATTTTGTATGTCTAATGCAAAGTCAACTAATGTGCCTCTAGCTTCTCATTTTGTGCTAAGCAAAGATCAATGTCCTAAATTTGAATCTGATATGAATTACATGAAAGATGTGCCATATTCGAATGCTATAGGCTCTGTGATGTACTTGATGATTTGTACTAGACCTAATATTGCATATTCTGTGAGTTGTTTGAGCCGTTTCATGTCTAATCCTGGAACTGAACATTGGAATGCAGTCAAGTGGTTATTTAGATATTTGTGTGGTTCTAGTAATCTAGGGCTAAAATTTGGAAAATGTGTTGAATGAGTAAAATTGAAAGGTTATGTGGACTCTAATTATGCGAACGATAGAGACAATAGAAAATCTACAACATCCTATGTGTTTACTTTGTGTGGCTCATGCATAAGTTGGAAATCACAACTCCAACATATTGTTGCTCTATCTACTCCTGAATCAGAATATGTTGCGATAACTGATGCTCTAAAGGAAGCGCTGTGGCTAAAAGGTTTGCTTTCTGAAATTGAAATTTTGCATGAC